CGCCCCCGGGCAAGCTGCCCACGTGCCAGCCCTGAACCCACTTCTCCAGGGGTCATCTGGAGACCAGAATTCCCATCTGATCCCAGTGCTCTGCTGCACCATGCAGCACTGCTCAGCCCTCCGCACCCCCCACCCCACCCTTGCAGGTCCAAGGATCTTGCAGCTCATCTCCAGAGGTGCCTAGATCCTCTGAGGAAATTTGGGGGGACCTGTGCTCTGCATGAGTCCTGATTATTCAACCCTGTCTGCTCCTCCCCTCCCTACTCTCCTTCACATACTCCACATGGCCTGGGATCTGGGTGAGTTTCTAGTTAACCCCCGTGCCAATGTTCCCTGTGCCCTTGTGTAGCTGCTCAGGGGAGCTTCTACTGCTGCCCAGCTCACGCACAGAGCACCCACAGCTAGGGGTGTTTCTCCTGCTGGTGCACATTCACACATGCTTTGGTGCACAGAAAAAAAAATATTCCGCACATGGCTGGAAAAGATTCACGGGAACATTGGCTGGGAATGATCTGTGGCTGGGGAGGGGCCCACTCCAGGTTCCCGCGGACCCGGATTCGGAGCTTGTAGATGTCGGCGTGCTCCCCGTCGTCGGGCGAGATGGGAAGGGAGTCCGGAAAACCACAACGAAGTCTGTTCAGTGGAGCCTCCCATGACCCCTGCCGAGCCATGCGGCACCCCAGTGCGGGGCAGCCACAGGCAGGCCACCCTGAGTCCATGCCACTGGCGGGGGCGGAAGATAGCATACTCCATGGCTCGTGCCCCACACACGCTCCCCACAGGAGCTTTCGGGAGAGCTGCCTTCTCTTACACCACTGGGGACGCCCAACGAGCTTTTGGGGAGACCCCCTTGGTTGCTTAGGCAACGCCCCCAGGCCGCTGGGGAAGGCGGAGGGCCATGGCACATGACTCCAGGCTGCTTCTCCCGGATCTTGGCCGGGCTCCCCCCCATCCTCCTGCCCCCCATTCACGTGCCAGGACAACGGGGGCCAGCAGAGAACCCGGCACCCGCGGGGCAGCACGGCAGCCTGGCTCCCAGCTCTGGGAGAGCCGGGCCTTCCCTGCATCCGAGGCGGGGGGTCAGGCTACAGCCCTGCATTCAGGACAAGCAGGGCGCACCGCGGAGAAGAGCTTCGTGCAACGGGTTCCCCAGCTCCTCGGGGTGGTGGGTTCTCTGCTCGCCCCCTTTACACGAACCTTGCCCTCGCACACCCAGCCGTGCCCCAGTGCGACTGCCCCCCCGCAGGGCCCCTCTCCCCGCGCCTACCTTCTGGGGGGCGTCCTGCTCGGGCACGAGCCAGTCCAGTTCGGAAGCAGCCGGGAGCTGCATCCCTTCAAACTGCTTCAGCAGGCCCATGGCCACGGCCTCGGCCGAGTTCGAGTGGAGGAAGGAGTGGGATCTGCAGAGCACGAGAGGCCCATCAGCACCAGTCAGAGACAGACAGACCAGAATATCCAGGCTTTAGCGCTCTGACTGGCGACCCTCCCGGCCCCACGCCTGCGCCCGCCACGCCCCGGC